AACTATGGGCTTTTGCCAATTCTAACAAGCCAGGCTGTTAAGCCATGGCTTTATATTGCCTTATAATAAATTGAGGCTCTACTTTGAGGCTGCTACTTGTAAATAATAAGAGATCACCTGACATGCTGACTTACCTTTATACATGAACACAATCTACAGTGGTGCCTTGCTTGACGATGTTAATTCGTTCCAGCGAAATTGCTTAGAGCGAAAACTTCGTCAAATGAAATTTAAAAACCCATTGAAATGCATTGAAAACCGTTCAATGTGTTCCAATGGGCTGAATACCTGCTCGTCCAGCGAAGATTCTCCATACGGCGGCCATTTTCGGTGCCTGTAAAGTGAGGAATCCATCGTAGAAAACAGCGGGGGGCGATTTTCTTCAGCCCGTGGCCATTTTGAAACCCGACGATCAGCTGGGAACCGATCGTTAAATAAAAAAACCCATTTAAACCATCGTTTTACGATTGCAAAAGCAATTGCAAAAACCTAATCATACAGCAATTTCCTCGTTAAGCGAGGCAATCATTAAGCAAGGCACCACTGTACTTCTGTTCTGCAGCTTACTCTTTCTTAAACTGACATAGCACTGTTCTCGTGTTATGTACTGTACATTGGTATTGAAACTAATCTGCATCTTAAAATAGTCTGAATTTTTCTTATACAGCTAGATACCTAATGATTTTATGGATATGACAATTTTAGGCTTTTTGAAACAAACCACTTTCTACTGTTGTTACTATAATGCAGTTTCTATAGAGGCCATAGCCATGGAAAGAAAGAAAAAAAAATCTTAAGCTTTGAAGAGGAATGCTGGTCAAGCTAAAAGGGATAGTCTACAGAAAAACTGCGACAGAAAAAAAAGAGTACATGGTTGGTTCAGTTCATGGAATTTTCAACCATCCTTTTTCTGAAATACACCAAAGTGTTTTGGAATTAGATTAGATTCTGTATATCTGATGCAGACAATTCTCGTCAAATGCTTCAAATACAGCACACAAGTGCTAAAGTCATAAGACAAACAGGGCATTTTTGAAGCACACTTTCCTTACTTTTCAACACTGCAATTCTGAAGTCAGAGAAGCGAAGGAGGTTCAAAGCTTGGATCTTCCCCCTAGAGGACTGTTCCTTCCATCCTCAGAAGAAGAAGAGAGCAAACACATTTGTTGCCTGAGATGGTTTCCTAAGGATCAGAGGGTTGCAACCCTCATTATGGTGGAGGTGAGCTGGATGTTTTATGCAATGTCAAAAGAGGAACATTTATTTGAAGTTTATTGCAAGTAGAACTGTGCTTTCTTTTCTTCTTTTTAAAAAAAAGATCAAATTGTTGCATTCTTATTATAGGATTAAGATGCCCAAGTTCCAGATACAACAATTCAAAATAGCCTAAACTTCTGCACAGTTTATACTACTGCAAACCAAACAGAATACATTTTCTGAAATATTACCTCATATTACAGACATAATTAAAAGTATTTTCACAAATATATCCCATATCCAAAAGATGCTAGTCTTCTTTTTTCTGTGTCTGAAATCGTTCCATCAGTGCCCTAAATACATTCCCAGGTATTTTCTGATGCTTGTCTATTAAACATTGTACTGCAGTCTTTGCCTGTAGCAACAGCAATAACCAAGGAGGAGGATGGGGAAGAAATATATCAGTAATTAGTGCACCAACTTTCACTCAAAATGTATATCACAAATTAAAGTTAAAACTAAATAGCCCTTTTCAAGCTGGAATATTATTCAAAGTATCAATACATTACATGTGAAGCTGCAGTACAGGTTGAAATTACACAAGCAGAAAATGGGAGCACAAAGGCCTATGCTTTAGAAAACTCACACTTGTTTTTACTACCAAAACAACAACAACAACAACAAAACCTTTGCCATAGGCTTTATATTGTCATACTGCATATTCATATATGAAAGAAAAAAAAATGTCACTCTCACCCACATAAACATATCCGGTAAACATTTTAAATATGACATCTGCAGATCATAATCTTCCTTTCATTCTAACTTTCCCTAACCAATATCATTGGAAAGAAAAGAGAAAGTCATTGGTTTACTGAGGGGAAAACAAACAAATTTAATCCTTATGAGTGTAGCACCACCAATAGATGTAGTACTTCCTTTTGAGCAAGATTAGCTTCTTTATTATCTTACAGAGAGCTGCTGAATACAGTTTATCTGACTTATCATCACTGCTCAGTAAGTGGAGGAACAACAGCCCCACATATTCTAAACTGCTAAATTTATTAAGAAACATCTTATGGACTGGCATTAGAGTTTTCCTTCTGCTGATGGGTGGAGTCCATCTTTAAAATGGACCTGTTCACTTAACCTGACTGCATAAGGGGCAATCACTTCACTTAACCTGACTGCATAAGGGGCAATCATTTAAATAAATATTCCACGCCTCCCAACTCAAACAAGTTCCCCTTTGCATTCCGCCTATCTAGTCGCAAAGGACTACTCTAAATATTCCACCCTTCCCAACTCAAACAAGTTTCCCTTTGCATTGCACACACACACACACACACACACACACACACACACACACCAGTCAAGAGGATGGGAATCTACAAAGCTAGAGAGGAAACGGGGGAAAGGACTAAAAGTATGTGACTAATTCTCCCTTCAACAACACAGAGATTAGGGTGCCAGACAACCATGCACAGTGGTACCTCCACTTACGGCCATAATCCATTCCATGGATGGACGTAACTTAGGAATGCATTGAAATGCAATTAATCCATTTCGGCCAAAGAAAAACATCACACACACAAAAAAAATATTTTTTTTAAAAAAATCACTGCAAGACTCATTGAACACAATCTCTGCCAGCCAAAGGGGGGGGGGGAAGCAATCATTTCCAGTGCAAGACCCACTGGAAATGCACAGAAAAAAACGAGCAGATCAGAAATGCACAGAGAACAAAGGTGGCTGGTTGGAAATGCAAAGAAAACAAGGGAAAAAGCAAAGGAAGCATGTAGGACCCATCGGAAATGGGAAACCCCCCCAAAAGAAACCAAACCCCCAAGACCCATTGGAAATGGGAGGAAAGCCAACAAACAAACAACCCCCCAAGACCCAATGGAAATGGGGAACCCCCCAAAAAGCAACCAAACCTCCCAAGACCCATTGGAAATGGGGGGAACCAAAATACAAACAAACCCCCCAAGACCCATCGGAAATGGGGGGAAAAACTACAAAAAAAGCAAACAACCCCCCCAAGACCCATCGAAAATGAGGGGAAAAACCAAAAAACAAACAAATCCTCTAAGACCCAGCAGAAATGGGAAAAACACTCAAAGAAGCAACAAAACCCCCAAGACCTATCGGAAATGGGGGAAAAACCCAAAAAACCCAAACCCCCCAAGACCCATCGGAAATGGGGGGAAACCCCAAAATACAAACCCCCAAGACCCATCACAGCACAGAAACATAACACCCCCAGCTCAAAACCACACTGCAAAAACACCCAGAACAGTTTTTAAAAAGCAGAAAATAGCACCTTACCTTACAAGGCAGCCCAAAGCCTCCCTGAAAACACACACACTCTCTCTCAGAAGCAGAAGGCGGCAGTCCCAAGCCTACGATGATGACGCACACTCTCTAACTGCTGGGGTGAAAGAGCTACAAAGAACCAGCCTCGTCACCAGCTACAGTTAGCAATTTGAATTTCCTGCCTTTTTCCCCGTCTTTTTCTGTTTGTAAGTGGAAGCTCCAGTCACAAGTAGAAGCAAAATTTTGCAGCCGGAGCTGCTCATAACTCGAAATGGTCATAAGTAGGGATGTTCATAAATGGAAGCATCACTGTAGTGCAAAATCCATGTGCCTCCCAAAATGTAATTACAAGAGTTGATTAACACACACACACACACACACACACACACACACACACACTCACATACATTCAGAACAGTTTATTTTATTTATTTTATTTATTTATTGGTTTTTTACCCCGCCCCTCTAGACCATGTCTACAGTTCTCTTTATCAGAGTTCTCTTCCACAGCATTGACTATCCTTTCCATACACTACCATGTGAAATGAGTCTTATGATCCCCTGATCTAGAGGTGAATTAGATATGTTGTGTTGGGGGCAATTAGACTACTTCAGTGCCTTCAGTGTTGAATCCATGGGGTTCTGGGTGGCCAGAGGCACAGTATCTATTGAATATTTATTTATGGATATATTGATTGATTGAAAATCTATGTATGACCAAAACTGTGCTGCTCAAACACATGCAATTCAAGGGAGAAGTATAATCTGATATACAGTAGTCAATGGAAGTTTCGAGTTATTCTTAAACAGTTGGAATTCCACTGATTTGGTGATTCACAACTACAATCTGTCAAGATTTCACACTTCATACAGGAGTCTTCATTCTGATTTTTATTATTTACTTGTTTAATTTACATCTCACAATTAGAGTAAAGTAATTGCTAAAATAAAATAATTCAAAAGTGTATCAGTTAAAAGTAAGATGCAGAGGACCCTGCCTGTCCACTCATTTGCCAAAATCCTGCCTGAACGAAAAAATATTTGCCTGCCACTGGAAAGACAAGGGAGGGGGCCAACACAGCTTCTCTTGAAAGGTATTTCACAGTCTGGCCCTCTTTTATATTCTCACCAGATGTGTCTGTGAGGTTCTAGATCCTGACATCTAAGGAGGCTCATCTGGGGAGATGTGGTCCTTCAGACAGCCTGGATCATAATGAGCATTTTGAACTGTGGTTGGAAATCAATCAGTGAAGCTACTGCAGCAAAGAATCAATATTCTCACTATAACTAGCTGTGGTCATCAATCTGATTACAAGATTTTCATGCTGGTTGCAAACACTTTCTAAAGACTGTCCCACTTACATCATATTGTGTGAACACACTCCCAGCTGCTGCTAAAGCTTGTGTATCCTAAGACAGCTGAGCACTATACAGATACTTTGAATCAACACCATTAAATATTATGATTTTTTAAAAAAAAAACTTACCTTTTCTGCCAACTGTTCAGCAGTTATATTTGGCTCATATGGAATAGAATCTCCAACATATGTACGGAGTTTGACAGGGAAGTTTCCATATAGTGGGACCAGTGGCAAACGGAGATACTCGTATATCAACCTAAACAGTTCTGTTTCAGTAGAGATGACATATTATTTATTTATTTCATTAATTTATATATAACCCTGTTAGTGTTACACACTATTCTGAGTGGTTAACAAACACTAAAAACAGCAGAAGATGCTGTAAATTAAGAGGATAACAGGTATACTAGTATCTTAAGTTCTCACAATGTGCCCAAAGATGGCTAGCTAACGTTTCATCATTTTGCTCCCAAAGAAAGATCAGACTAGGTTCTGTCTAGGGCCCACTTGTTTGTCTTTATGATGGCCCCTTGTATCTCCAAAGCTCTACTCCAGAACCAAAGCTCAAAGGAATCCATTTTCTTCCTATCAGCTTTCTTCACAGTCCAGCATTTACATTAATACATAGTAACTGGAAATGCAATTATGTTGATAATCTTGGCCTCGGTCTCCTCTGTGACACATTCTTACAGCTCATGATTTTATGTAGTTCCTTCATAGTTACTTTCCCAAGTTTCAGTCTTCTTCCAATTGCTTTGCTGCAATCACTCCATCTGGACTGATGATTGAATCTAGATATATAAAATCTTGAACAATACCAACTTCTTCATTACCAACACTAATGATCCAAAGTTCTTCTGCAGTCATGATTTTTGGTCTTTCCAATGTTCAACTCCTGTCCTGCTTTGGCATTTTTTTTTAATTTTCACTTTCATCACAAGCAGTTTCAAGTCATGGCTGCTTTCCACCAGTAAGATGGTGTCATCTGCATGACTCAGGCTGTGGTCAGACTTACAAAACGTTTCCAAGTTACTCCTCATGAATTTTGACTCTTTTGTTTTTGTTTCTGATGACATATGGTCATTACCAATCAAACCTTTGTTCTCCCTTGGCACCATCTCCATGTCAAATCCAGCATGCCAGGAGGCTACAGCTATTTCTGTTCAGCATTTCATCGTACATTACTACATGTGGTGTGTACTGCTAAATCAATTTATTTCCTATACATCTGGCATGCAGGTCCATGTCTCCCAACAGCTGCTGCCCAACATATTGTTTTGTGTGTTTTTTTTTAACTTTCAAAGTGGAATAGGCACGTTGGTATGCTTCTGTCAAACAGGGCTCAATGTACTTGAGGACTGTAAAGGGAAAGAGGAGGCGGCCGATGGGAGATGTTGAAGGCTATCCGAGAAGCACAGGGGACACGTCTAATAAAAGACATTCCCCCAAAGTCCTCCAGGAATAGCATGTGGAGCATCAGTGCAGTGGTTCCCAAACTTTTTCCATTTGCAGCTTCCCCATGAAAAAAATAAAACATCTGCTGAAAATAAGTCCTACTGCATTTTCTGGAGCAAAATTTAATATAAGATCCTGTCTTATTTTCGGGAAAACGCGGTATATGTCATAAGACCACAACGCATGACTACACAGGAACCAGAAGATGTGAGAAAAAAATAAGGGTATTTTTGTAGTGTGACCATAGCCTTAGATGACTGATGTTTCTTCTATCCATTTCCACTCCTCCATCGGAATCTAGTCCAGCTTTCTGTATGATATGTCTTGGAGAGATAAATTGCACTCTTCTCTGACATATCCGCCTACAGAAAAGCATTCTGTTCCTGCATGTTCTATCCTAAGAGTAGCTACCTGTTCACAATACAGGTTCAAATCAGGACAACAAAGTGCTGAGGAACACCCATTTCTTGCAGAACAATCCATGTCTTCTCATATTTCACGCAAAGGCTTTTTTTATATAGACTACAGTACATACTCTATAAAACATAACATAATCTTCTTTTGAAATTCTTTGATGTTCTCCAATATCTAGCATATATTTCCAATATGATCTCAGGTTTCTCTTATCTTCTGGAATGCAGTTTGAACATTGAGGATTTCCTACCCCATATAGGGTGAAAGTCTTTGTTGCAACACACTGAGCATCATTTTACTTGCATGGGAAAGTAATGCAATGGTACTATAATTACTTCACTCATTGGCATCTCATTTCTTGGGTACAGGAATGTGTATTGAACGTTTCCATTGCATGGACCATTCTTTTTTTGCCATGTTTGTTGGCATATTTTTCCTTCCGTCCTTCCGTCCTTCCATCCTTCCTTCCTTCCTTCCTTCCTTCCTTCCTTCCTTCCGAAAGGTTAAAAAGGTTAATAGAGCTAAACCCTGGACCATTTACTGTTACTTTTTATGCTGCTTCTGCCTTACATTTTCTCAAACTACATGCAACACAGAATGGTATAAATATGTTTATGTATTAAGTCTTGGGAAACAATTCTGTAAGCAAGAATGAGATGTGGATCTCTGAAGCTCATATCTCCATGGACACAATTCATTGCACATGATGATGAATGTGCAAATCATAGGATTGTTCTTAATGCCACGGTCACATGCAAAAACAGCAAGAAAAAAGTTCAAGCAAGAAAGCAATGAATAGAAAATAATATGAATACTTTTTTTAACATTGCTTACTTAGTCCACCAAGTGAACGAATGCCTTCCCGGACATTTTGTGTGAACACAGGAATGATAGGCTGGAGTAAAAAAAAAAAAGAGAAGGATATTTATTAGCCACTATAAAAAGTCCCAGCTTCACAAAAGTTACAGCAGCAATCAAACCTTCAACCTTAAGTAGCTCCTAATGTTGGATATCTTGTGTGAGTGAAGCTAGGAGCTGTACGGCCCACAGAGAAGTCATCTGGCTTATTATGAGATGAACTTCTCACTCTGAGATAATTCAACCTGGCCACTATTAAAACATATCACTGCAAAGTACTCCTTTCTATCTGATTGCATCACAATGGGTAGCTCACACTGAAACTGAGACAACAGTGATAAGAATCATGAACCAAGGCTGGGGTATGGGAAGATAGCAACTTGGAGAAGTTACTTCATTGAACTACAACTCTCAGAATCCTTCAACCAGCAATGGGGATTGGCCACATTATGCTGGTTGGAAGATCTTGTGAGTGTAATATTATTATTATTAATATATAATAACTTGTTCCTCTTTCCGAATGGCTCCAGCCAGTGCTTCCTATACAGCGTGTTTCTCCTCTATGTGTCAGCAGCTCTGCCTCTGGCCTTTTGAAGTCTATTAATAAAATCAGAATACAGCAAATAAATTTATAGATATTCCTTTGCTTGAGGCAAGTCGCTGCTAAATGACACTTTCTGTAAAACTGCACAACAGGATTTCAGCCTATATGTGGTTATCTGGTATTACTTACTCTTCCGGCAGCTTTTGCAGTTTGTTTTTTTCAAGCTAACATCTTACAAAAACCCTTCTTCAAATAGAAGACATTATCCTAATAGTTAAATGATGGTTTGAGAGCACTACCTAGAGACCAGATGGTACTGTGGGCCAGCGATTTCTAACCGTTGGATCTTTAGATATTTTGGGATTCCAACATTACCAGTCAACATGACTATGATAAGGTATTCTGGCAGTTGTTGCCTACACTGTTTGGGAGGTCAAAAGTTGAAGAACAGTGCTGTGGGCTGCAAGCACATTTAAAGATTAACATGCCACTTAATGAATGAAGTAATATCACAGACTACAGAAAGATATACATTATAGTAAAACAATCCATTTGAAAAAGCAAATAACCTTAAGATGCACACCTCTGTGATTCTTGTAGTATCTATAGCATTTTCCAGGTATCTAGAGTTCACAGTGCTAGAAATATGATAGGCATACATATATGCATAGTTCTTATTGCAGAATAGTCAGGGAAGTACTGAGTTTCCCAAGGCTTAGAAACCTCCTGCTGTCCAAATCCATGCTGGTGTTCTCTCCCATCCTCTTTCTTCTCTCTCTCTTCTCTCCCTCTTCTCTCTTCTATCTCTCTTCTCTCTCCCCTCTCTCCTAGGTTCTTTGAAGGCAAAAATGCCCTAGGGGCACTATCTAAACTGGCAGAGTTCAAGCACACAGGTGATATTCAAGCAAAGTCACTCTAAAGGTAGAGTCAAAAGGCAGTTAAAAATCAACATAATCCTGCTAGAGAGAAGGTAAGAGTTCAGGGTGGAAACCAGCAGGTTCTAGCCATTTTGCTTCTAGCAAAAAGAAGCACAGTCAAACTCAGCCCTAGTTCAGGCTACTCATTTTCAACACTGCCCATGAAATTACTAGGCAGCAGCTCTTACTCCGTCTCTGAACAGACTGAAGAGTTCAAGGCCCCTGTAGAACAAGGCATCACACAGAGATAGATGGTGCTGCAGAGTACAGACACACTTCAGTCAAAGTATTAAAAAGTTGGAGGCAACTGGGATTCTTGCTCTTGAGGAGCAGTCAGCTCTCTGTAATACTTTGAGCCTACAGAGTAGAAACCCAGCTCCTTTTTGGTTGATCTTGATCTGTCCTAGGCTATACTGTGTGTCATCTTCTGATACAGGTTGTGTAATCATTAGAGGGAAAAGAGCGTTTTAGTCCTTTCCAAAAAAACCTCCCACACCAATATCTACATCACGCACACCACATTCGTGTGCCAGAGGGACTACACAGAAGTGGAACCTATGCTGTTACAACAGTGGGCAGGCTACAACTGAATAGTTGCCAGGGTGCCACTCAAAGCTGGCTTCAAACATTTGGACCAACCTCAAGGCTTGCTGCTCTTGAGGGGACGTCTACTATTAAGATGCATTTTACGTCCAAAGAATGCCTCCATTCCTCAGGAGCCTGGTGTCTGCCATTCAACCAAGGTTCTGCAAGCTACAGATTTTATTTAATCATGTTTTTTTTAATTAATTTAATTATGTTTTTTTAAGTAACACAGCATTCTTTTAGTAACCATGCCAGATATCATGAACTTGAAACAATGGCAGAAAAAGATACACTTTTATTATTATAGGTGATAGTTGTACTTGCGTGAGTATTGACATTTCTTACCACTTTTGCATCTATGGCGACCTGAGCAAATCCTTTACGATCTCCCCATATAAGAGTGTAGTTTTCATTACTGAATAATGCTTCCCGAAGTCCTCCTGGTGCAATGGCCACCAAATTCCCACTTTTTAATTCTCTCAAGCATTCTTCCCGTGTTCCACGCAGAACAGTGAAAACATCAAGTAATAGTTTAAAACCTGTAAATGATAAGAAATTATTCTATTAATAACACACATAACCCACCAATACATATTATGAATACTGTGAATATTGGTTAAAAAAAGTGCAATTTTCCAAACATCAGCACCAACTAATGTATTATCTTAAAACTAATAAACAAACAAACAAAACAACAAATAAGTGTCAACTTTAAATGACCACTGACTCACATTTTTTTCTCTAGCAGAAACTATTACAAGGAACAAGGTTTTCAACCCTGTCCAAAAGGCAAATATACTTATGCAGAGTCAAACATTGACCTGCAGAGCTTATATAGTATTGGTCACATAGAAATATATGTATCATATGCCATTATCTTCTTGGGAAACATTAAAATTTTCAGTTCTAGGCATCTTCAGTTTTTAAATCTTGTGAACATTACCCTTTTGAGGCTGCTGGAAAAGAAATTTTGTATGATAAATCATACTTCTAGAGTATCAGGCAAAAACAGAAAAAAAGGGGGGAAGAAAAAAGTCAAAAGGCAAAAAATGTTTGCAAGGTTGGGGACCACTGTTCTAGAGTATCAGGCAAATACAGAAAAAAGGGGGGAAGAAAAAAATCAAAAGGCAAAAAATGTTCGTGCCATCTTAAAGACTAATTATTATATTTTGATATAAGCTTTTGTGGAACTTTGCCCACTTCTTCAGATACATGAGGGGGGATATATTTTGATATAAGCTTTTGTGGAACTTCTCCCACTTCTTCAGATACAGAGATTAACACAGTAAAACGTGCCACAATGCTTTTGTCTTTTTAGTTTTTTCCCTTTTGTTTTTGCCTGATAATGCTTGCACAGACTAACATGGCTACCTATTCTAAAACTAACAGCTGGTTAATCAGAGACCTTTGGGTAGAGTGGGTGGCATGTAAGTTAAATAAATAAATAATCAACTGGAGTAAGTTATTGTTCCCATTGATTATACTGCATTTAATTTAGTTCACTGGTGTTTTCTTATTCACCCTTCTCTTAGGGGGTCATGGCGACATTCAGCAAGCAAGACCATTGCTTCATTGGTTGAAATCCTGTTGTTTATCATAATACGTAGCATTAGAGTATGCCCATTGAGTCAGTGGGAATTTGGTGAGTCAATGCCTCCCCAAGTTCCAATGATTCAAACAGTCCTACTCTAATTGCAACCTACTACCCTAAAGTTAAACTGTGCGAAGACTAGTTCAATTGAGTTGAATTACCAAATCACCATGGAATCAGCAAGCCTACTCTAGTGTGACTTACTGCACTAAGCAACACTAGTTCACTCAATGTGTGTCTGAGAATTTTACATAAAGGGAACAGCCCAGTCATTATTAACTGTAATTAAATGTTATATCTGTGTATGACTGGAGAAGTGAACATGAAAAAGAGTTTCCAGAAGTTGGATGGGGAATGTGTAGCCCTCTAAATTTGGACTAAAACTCCTGTCATATCTTGTCATTGTCTACGCTGACTACAGTTGATAAACACTGCAGTTCACTAAATTCCTTTCCAATACCACATTTAATATGTCTAGAATCTGCAATGAATGCATGATTTGGACAATTACAAATCTTTCCCCTTCAAAGTACTGTACTTAGAAGAGCCACTGTTATTTTTCCTTTCCCATCTAACAGAAGATTGTGATTTTTTCACAAGAGAAGATAGAGCCTAGAAAACCTTCCACAATTAAGTAAAAAAAGCATCAACAAATCAACAGCAACAGAACAGGAAAAACCTAAAACCATTATTTGACAATGAACAATTTGGATCTTTGCAGAACTACCACCAAAAAGCCCAGCATATCTAAACCAGTAGTCTTAACTGATCAACAGACACACTTGACTAATTCTACCTGGCATCGAGAAGACAAAGTGATCAGCTACTACACGGAAGATCCTTTTCTTCTTAATAAAGACAGTGGCCATGAAGTAGAAAAAATCCATAGGAGTTGCTCCATGATAAAAAACAATCAGAGCTGGTCCATCAGGTACTTTTTCCATGCCATGCAACTCATAACCTGTCAAGAACAAAAATACTCAAAGTTAATATCTGATATCAAGTTAGCACTGCAAAAGCTTCATCAAAAGTATATTAAAGTTGCCACGCCAAACTCAGTACAACCATGAAATGCAGGTACTTTTTAAGGAAGCATACAATACAGGATAACAGTTAATTGGTCATTAAGCATGAATGATATAAGAATTTAACTGGAAAGAGAGTCTCTGTTGAGCTTTTTTATTTTCGTTTCTTAAATTTCTGATGTCTCCACCAGCTAATGTCAGTCAGCTGTTATTGGTTTATCTTTTATTATTTTATACAATGATTGAGTTTGTCTTGAGAGATATATGGCTATGAATTACTTTCCATATAACAGAAGTGATGCGATGTATAAGAAATAAGAATTGACAGCTTCCTTCTTGGTGGCTATCAACATGTATGAATTAGAGTTCCTTTCTTCTAGAGCAGAAGATTTCATAATTAGGATTCTGAATACATGAGTGGTGTGGTTAAAAATATGGGTTCTGTTGTGAAGACAACCATATACTTCAAGACTAATAAATACCACCTTCAGAGAGAAAATGTCCTATTCTGTATAGGAATTTCATCACCCTGTCAAAATTGCAGTAGCTTTTACCCTTGTGAAATTGTCACTCCCATTCTGTCAAATGCATATTAAGGGTCTCATTCTGTGTCTGCCTTGCACTGGAAAGACAATCAAGAATATATTTGGTAATCCCAATATGAAACAGCCTCCAACTATGAAAGTAAATTGAAGCATATCTGTTGAGTCAGTTCCCTCCAAAGGAGTTATGGCGTCACTCTACCTTCAAAGGAATTCTCTTGATAAAAAAATTGTTCCATCTGACTTAAAAATTTTACTGACTACTTCATGGATGCAAACTTCTCCTGACAATCTCTGAAAAGTGGGGAAGAATAGGTTTTGGGGGTTTTTTTCCCCAAAGGTTCAAACAACTATCAATTATATCTTTAAGGTAGGAGTGATATTATAACAGCATATAACTATATCCTCTTCTTCAATGTCTAATACTGCTAAAGAAGTTGAGATTTTTTTCCAGGATGAAGAAGGATTAGTTTTTGCACAGAAAGTTTTACACAAAGAGATCTAAACTCTTGGCTAGCTTTTGGACTCTAACTTGCTGAAACCATGGTTTGTTATTTTCAAATCCAGAACTGTGTCTTGTTCCTCAAACTCTCCCTCCTCAAAAAGGGATTAACAAAAGGGATAGAAGAGAAACAGATCGGCAATGGGAAAAACAAACAGTGGCCTGTTTGCTCATCTGCAGGGGAATTTATGCCTGAAACAAAAAAAAATCATGGCGTAGGGTGTTGTGATAAATATGCTATCACCAGGACAATCTGCTATTCAGCAATCCTTGATCCTGCTTCTATACCTCACTCCAATTGCAACATTATTTCAGAACAGTACCGATGAACATCATGAATCACTGACAGTTTTTTGGCTTCTATATCTTTTAATATTTATGCCAGTTCTGCTCAAAACAACAATGAATATTTTGTAGTGGGCCAACCACCACTACTGAGTTTTGAAACACTACTTCATAATCTAGAAAATTCTTTTTTTAAAGGCTACTATAAATTGGAATAGATTTGATGCCCCACAGCTGGCACACAGAGCCCTCTCTGTGGACACATAAGCCATGCCAATGCTGCTGCCCATGCCAGCCCAGTGCAGGGCACGGTGGCTCTTGATGCCGGGGCTCAGCTTGAGCTCACACTGCCGCCTTGTCCCCTGCCCAAAGGGAGCCCGCAAGTGGCGCTGGAGGCAGTGATCAGGCAGTGGCAGCAGCAGGAGGAGGAGGCAGAGGTGAAGGAGGAGCTGTGCCCAGCCACCCCTGGGTGCGAAATCACTGCTGTCCATTGACTGTGACTCTGGCCCTGCAGGAGAGCAAGCAAGCGGGGTGAAGTGCAGTGCAGTGCAGGAAACCCGGGCAAAGGCCCTGACTATATTTGGGGAGGGGGGAAGGTGTACCCTGGCTGCCCTCTGGGGAACATGCTGGCCCAGAGAGTGACCACTGATTTGGGCACTCAGGCTCGAAAAGGTCAAAATTGGGGCGCTTTATATGCATAAAATTTGTGGATAATCACAGTTTCTGGCATGAATTTATAGACAAAAATGTTCTGTACCATGGCCTATATAAAGGAGCTAGGGGTCAGCTGAGGAGGCGAGAAATTTACATCTGCAGATTCTGCAGATAGCAAAACTACTCATTTCAAAGAGGCAGAGGAAATATGTTCTTAAAATACTGGAACTTTAGACCAATCCATGATTTCCTTAATTAAAAATTATATATATAATATATATATCAGGGTTCCTTTTGCTTCTGATATATATATATATCAGAAGCCCAAGGAATCCTGCACATACATACTCTCACTGTGTACAAGAGACAATTAGTCATATTATGCTTTTCATTTAAAAAAAAGGTGCTTGCTAGAATTTAGCATACATTACTGGAACACAAAAAAGAAAACCAGCTTACAAATCATGACTAGAAAGACTTAGTTGTTCCATTCTTGCCAGAAAGATTAAGTTGTTCCATCCTTGCCTTTTCAATATACTTTAAAATGTTTCAGTAGAAAACATCCAAGACAACTACAGTACCTTTGTATCATTTAGATGTAATATAAACAATTAATTAAAATATTCACTGAGGCGGGGCATCTCCTTCAAGGACACATCAGCTTAATATAGTTGTTAAAGTATCTGCTTTGGGAAAATATAGGAAAGTAGGAGAAATATAACCTACCAGATGGGGAAATGATAGATCAGGTAGTCTGAAGCAGAAGAAAAGCAGGGGGAGTTGAGTATGTGAAGTTACTTTTTTCTTTGAAACCTCACAGGGACACCTTGATTGCTGAGAAGGAACGAAGGGCACCACTGATGCATCCCCATCATAGCCCACTGTATCATTCTCCCTGGTAAGAAACTTGTCCAGTGAAATGCTTGTAATGATTCACTGCAGTTTATAGTACAGTGGCCCTTATGCTGTCACTGTTACTGCTACATTGGTATGAGATTCTCATAGTCTTCTGTTAGCATGGAGAGGATCACTACTTAGCAAACTTCATTTAGGTACAAGTCACAAGATTCAACTCTCCTTTAGGAAGGGGCTCAAGTGCTGTGTATCGTTTACATACCAAAACTCCTTGGCACAAGAAAGTACAAAATCACATATACGTTTCCTGTTTTTTTTCCTTTCACATATTAACCTTCATAAATCCAGACTATAAGACATGATGCATATAAAAGAGGCTGTAGAATTCACACCAACCACCATCACCACCACTACCCCTGTTATTTATTTATTCAAAATATTTCTATCCCACCTTTCTCCTTAAAAAGGCCGAAGGCAGCTAACACAGACCCCACAAATGTGAGAAACTATAACTTAGCTGCAAATATCCTCTTCAGATGGTCCCTTCCAGCGACTGCTGGCCTGCTCAACTCAATAAGGAATTATATTGGTTTTCTAGATTTTTGTTTTGTTTTGGAGGTTCAATCTGTGGAATTTTCTCCACAGCAAAGTTTACCTAGCAATTTAGGAAGGGGGGATCATTAATTCACTATTTCAACACAACACATTGACCTAAACTTGGCTACCCTTTGAACATTCCTAAAGTTCAAGACAAAGCAAACTTGACACTGGAAAAAAGGGAACTAAGACTGACACATCTGTCTGTCCCTACCGGCCCACTTACACTGTGATCTTTGCAGCTTCAAATGGAATGCTTTGTGTTCTTCCATGCATTTGAAGATCCTTAGTGATCAACTCTGCTTTCAACTGCACTGCTACTTTTATTTATCACTTCTGTATTGTAGTTTATTTAAAATACTGTCAACTCAAAGACAATTTTAAAAATGTTTTTGCACTGCAACTGCAAATGGTTCAGAGGGGATAAAAAGCACACTCAGGTACTATAAAAATTAAAATTAGGCAACAAAGAAATTTTTAAAAGCTCTTTTAACATAAATCATGTTAACATATAGTCAAACACAGAAAGGATACAAAGCTGCATTATTCACCAAGAATTTTCCCATACAGCAATTGCTGCTTTCTACAGTGATCAGTTATTACTTTACACAATTCATTTTATGTCACAGTTCACCACATAGGAAAATTAGTAACCAAACTTAAAAATGGAACTAGAGAAATAGCATTACAACTGAGAAAGAAAGGCAAGGAAAATTATTCTGCAAAAAAAGCATCAAAAGATATTTTGATCTTTAAAATGTGTGTATTCATACCTGAGGATACTTTAATTTTGTTTGTCTATGCACATGAGGAGTGTTTCAAACAGTACTTACCATTCCATATTCTTGCATGAACGCACCAGACAGTTGCCACCGTTTCTCTTGCACCGTCCCAGAAATCATTCAAATATGCCTCCTTTAGGTCTGTCCTCCTCTTATAAACATGAAGGATGACAATGGAAATATAAAGGAGGAGAAGAATGGCTGCAGGAAGTATAAAAGCTATGAGTAGAGGTGTAAAGAGCCATGTGAGAAAGGCCAGGTAACTGAAATATTCTTCTAAGTGTTCCACTCCAGTCCATCCTTCCAGTATGTAAAGCAGGCATGTTAAGTAAGACGTGGGTATCTCCTCAGCACCGCAGGATTCATTTCGGCCTATCATAGTCTGTTTAAAGAATGAAAAACCAAAAGAGAGAGAGAGAGTAACACTAGTTCTCCAAAGAACATACCGAGTGCTCAGTCTCTCATATGAGTTGTCAGCCTGAGTTGTCAGTCATTTTTACCACAGAAGGGCAAAAATCCTAGTGCAATCCTATCCATGTCTGTTCAGATATAAGACTTCATGAAACTTACTCTCACAAAAGCAGGCACAGAAGAACTGTTGCCTGAAAATGTCAAACACCTGGAACTGCTTTGATCTGCAATCACTGTGATTCACAGTATCATGTTTTGAAAAAAAGGTAATTGGAGAGCTCGTCATACCTGTTTGCCCTGTGCTTCTTGACACCTAAATCATAACCTGTGGTAAAAGATTCTAATCCTACATGCCATCAAACAGCCGTAGCAAACAGGTTCTCAAAAATGTATTTATGTAAAGTTTTCCCCCCATCTTCTTGCTTCAGTGCTGTATCAGCATCAGCCTCTGCTTTTACTTTGGCAACGAAGACAAGAGACCATAGGATCAGGTTTGATAACAGAAACCCTGTTCTCTAAAGCACAGACAAATTCATATATATAAATAGGTGACCAAAATGCCTCGGCAATCATCTGCACACTCCAGACACATGGAAGTATTAATTGTAATATAGAAACTAACCGCCTGTTTCTCGCTTATTAAAGGTGAAACAGTATACAATTTCTTTTTCAATATTTATTTATTTATTTACAAGATTTTTTTAGCCACACCATTACCAGTGGTCTCTGAGTGGCGTACAACAATATTAAAAATGTTAAAACATTAAAACCATTAAAAATAGGCAATATTATAGTAATATCCTATATTTAAAACAATCATATTAATAAATCAGTGGCTCTCACTTAGAGATCAACTGCACTGCAAAGCCAAATCACTCCAATTTCAGGCTGTGATTTGATTTTGCAGCTTCTATTGCGTCTGAAATCACAGCCAGTGCTTACAGGAATTACAGACTGATTTGGAAGTACATCCTTCACACTGAATGTGATGTAATTCACATTCCAACCCATAGCCCCTCTTCTCACCTTCCTCCTCTGATCTCACCTCTGCCAAGCCTTTTGTGGGGTACAAATGCAGGAAATAATAATAATGAGCCAGTGATAGAGTGATCTAGAGCACTGGTTCTTAACCTTTGTTACTCAGATGTTTTTGGACTGCAACTCCCAGAAGCCTTCACCATCAACTCTGCTGGCTGAGGTTTCTGGGAGTTGCAGTTCAAAAACACCTGAGTAACAAAGGTTAAGAACCACTGATCTAGAGCTAATATCAGATATTTAAGAAATTTTAGGGGGGGATGGACGGCAATTGAGGGAAAGGAAAGAATGTGGAGGGGCGTGTTTCCCTGGTGCTGAATATCATGCCTCAACTGGCTGCATCACCAAAACATCACCTACAGACCTGTCCCTTTAATCTTTACAACAATGTATAACAGTTAACCACACGGGAAAAGCTCGTTGAAAAAGTAGAAGTTCTTGAACAGCACATGAAAAAAGCTGCTTTGAGAGCAAAACAGGGCTGGACAGGTTCAAATCAGCCTTTGTATCATACAGTCAGTAAAAATACTTTGATTTCACCTGCTTTTTAAAGGACAGCAAATCCTGTGGTATCTGACTATATATCTTCAGTCCAAGATAAGCCTAATGTTTATTTTGGAGTGCAGTAAAAATATGCTTTTCAGATATATAATCTTACAGACCAATGATTGATTTCTTCCCCACACGTGCCCAAGACATAAATGCATCTTATCCAAAGAGTCACTTCCTCTCTCATCCCAAACACATGTGACAGGACGTAGCTGTGCCATCCTTGCAAAGAGGCTGCCAAGTTACAAACCAGGCTGTTCACCCGTTCAAATTTTTTTACTCTGCCATACTTTAGCTAGCTGTCAGCGACCAGACCCACGCTTTCCCAGCCCTACTCCTACACCATGGTACACTAATGAAACTCTTCAACAGGTTGTAATGCTGATCTTACAGGCTGGGACTTGTAAAACTAATGGAAGTGAAGGGCACTGAGCATTTATGAGCACCAAGTGGGGGAGGGCTACAATCCTGAACCGGGCTATAAAGAGGGAAATCCAGGAAAACCAGGGTCATATAGAGGAAACACTCCAGGATAAAGTGCAAATAGGTCCAGAAAGAAGGAAGGGTTGTCCAAAGTGATAAGGGCACGGGGCGGGAAGGAAGGAAGGAAGGAAGCCAGAAAGGATGTTTCTCCCTCCCACCCAGTCTCTTGTTCACTAATTTGGGGGAGGGGACAGGATGATGAAATGACCCCATCAGAGGAACTTACCTGCCCGGGAAAGGGGTAGCAGCTGCTGCTACGGTGAGCGCCGGCGCTACCCTCGTTGGCTTTCTCTTCGAGTCCTACTGCTCCCAGAAGGGCGATCCTCAGCGGGAGTGTTTGTGGGGATGCGGAAAGCACACCTCGCCCCTGTGAAGGAGGAGCAGAGGGGGAGAAGATGCCCTCCAAAAGCCTGGGGCTGCAGCTCTACCCGGACCCATCGAGTAGGCGGAAACATGCCCGCGCACTCCTGCAAGAGCGCACCTTTCAGCGTTTGGATACACGGTGACCATAGAGAGAAGAAAAAGATATAGAGGGGACTGCCATCTTCTCCGCAAAGAGTATTTAGGGCTCACGCTGGATGCAAATCTTCACTCCCCACCACTATCTTTCAGCTGCTTTGCGGCACTAATATCTCCTTTCTCAAATGGAACAGGAAAGATTTTTTTTAAAAAAATAATTTTTAAAATGAATTTTTAAAAATTAAACAATGCAATTCCAGTGTAAAATATATTTCATAATTTAAGGCTGTGGACACTCTGAATATTTGAATTGATTTCTTTTCAGACTTATTAAAATTCAGGTTCAAGTCACATGGTATTTAAACCATCAGCCATGTTCACATGCACTGAATAGAAAATGACCAATATATGGTCGATCTGATCAGATGAGCGGGATATAAATCAAATAAATAATAATAATAATAATAATTTTCACCGGTTTTGGGATCTACACTGTTGAAACTGATTCATTTTGACAAAGCTGCATTGATTTGATATTAGAAGTGGAGTATTCTAAAACATCCCTGCTGGCTAGCTGGAAAAAAAAACTCACTTTGCAGCCCATAAAAATTGATTTCACCCTTGTGCCATGTGAATGATAAAATCTGATCAATTTAAATGATGTTCAAATGTGGTTCTTATTGCCAGCGTGGCTGAAGCCTAAATACTGCAAACTGAGAAAAGATACCTGGGAAGTCAAGCTGTATAAATCAACCTCATGGAAAAGAAAGGAATGATGTAACACTCCTCTGTTGTTTTTGTTTAGTCATTAAGTCGTGTCCCACTCTTCATGACCCCATGGATCAGAGCACACCACACCCTCCTGTCTTGCACTGCCACCCAGAGTTGGGTCAAATTCATGTTGGTAGCTTTGATGACACTGTCCATCCATCTCATCCTCTGACGTCCCCTTCTCCTCTTGCCTTCACACTTTCCCAACATCAGGGACTTTTCCAGGGAGTCTTCTCTTCTCATAAGATGGGCAAAGTATTGGAGCCTCAGCTTCAGGATATGTCCTTCCAGTGAGCACTCAGGGTTGATTACCTTCAAAATGGATAGGTTTGTTCTCTTTACAGTCCAGGGGACTTGCAAGAGTTGCCTCCAGCACCACAATGCAAAAGCATCAATTCTTTGGCGGTCAGCCTTCTTTATGGTCCAGCTCTCACTTCCAGCCAACACTACTGGAAAAACCATAGCTTTGACCTATGCCGGCAAGGTGATGTCTCTGCTTTTAAAGATGCTTTTGAGGTTTGTCATAAATTTCCTCCCAAGAAGCAGGCGTCTTTTAATTTCATGGCTGCTCTCACCATCTGCAGTGATCATGGAGCCCAAGAAAGTAAATCTGTCACTGCCTCCATATCTTCCCCTTCTATTTACCAGGTGGTAATGGGACCAGTGGCCATGATCTTAGTTTTTTTTTTTTTTTGATGTTGAGCTTCAAACCATTTTTTTGCTCTCTTCTTTCACCCTCATTAACAGGTTCAATACACATCCACTGTATATTCATAAGGGATTTGGTTTAGATTATATCTGACTGCCCCTGTGGTTTTTCCTACTTTCTTCAGTTTAAGCTTGAGTTTTGCTATAAGAAGCTGATGATCAGAGCCACAATCAGCTCCAGGTCTTGTTTTTGCTGACTGTCTAGAGCTTCTTCACATTTGGCTGCAGAGAACATAATCAATCTGATTTTGGTACTCCCCATCTGGTGATTTCCATGTGTAGAGTCGCCTCTTGTGTTGTTGGAAAAGAGTGTTTTTGATGACCAACTTGTTCTCTTGACAAAACTCTATTAGCCTTTGCCCTGCTTCATTTTGAACTCCAATGCCAAACTTACCTGTTGTTCCTTTTATCTCTTGACTCCCTACTTTATCATTCCAATCCCCTATAATAAGAACATATTTTTGTGTCAGTTCTAGAAGATGTTGTAAGTCTTCATAGACTGGTCATTTTCAGCCTCTTCAGCATCGGAGATTGGTGTATAAACTTGGATTACTGTGACATTGAAAGGTCTGCCTTGGATTCGTATTGAAATCATTCTATCACTTTTGAGATTGTATCCCAGTACAACTTTTCCCACTCTTTTGTTGACTATGAGGGCTACTCCATTAATTCTATGGGATTCTTGCCCACAATAGTAGATATGATAATCATTTGAATTGAATTAGCCCATTCCCATCCATTCACTGATACCCAGGATGTCAATGTTTATTCTTGCCATCTTCTGTTTGACCACATCCAACTTTCCAAGGTTCATAGATCTTACATTCCAGGTTCCTATGTAGTATTTTTCTTTGCAGCATTGGACTTCCAGGCACGTCCACAGCTGAGCCTCCTTTTGGCTTTGGCCCAACCACTTCATTAGCTCTGGAGCTACTTGTGCTTGTCCTCCACTCTTCCTCAGTAGGATGTTGGACACTCCTCTAAATAGTCCAGAATTATTTCCCTACTTCAAACTCAAAATAAAACAAAAATTAAAAACTCAGGCCATTCTATTATGATAGATTCCAATATTCTTTCTGGGATAAACTCCATATTCTGAGAAAACAAGACATAATAGAAACTTCTGATCAGGCCAGACCAAGCAAATTTGCTTGGTGGAGAACTAGAAAGTTTTTTAAGAAAGAAAAAAGCCAAAGTCTTGTAGCACCTGTAAAATTATAGATTTGTTTCAATCTGAGTTTTCATAGGATGTAATTCACAACTACATGCAGAAGATTCTTGCTTCTTTTCATTATTTGCTGAATGTACTTTTCAATGTCCTAATCCACCTACAGAATTTTTCCACACTGCAGCGACTGAATACAAGAATACCCCAACAAATATGGAAAACAGACTGGAATTATTCAATAGACATGTCAATCCCCAAGAAAAGAGAGTACTGTAGTTACTATGGGACCATTGCACTAATTTTTTATTTAGTGCAAAATGAGGCTCAAGGTATTGCAACAAAGACATGCCTGGCATTCAAACTGGATTTCAAAAAGGAAGAGGCACACCTCATGGTTTCTCATAGGCAAAGGTACCAGACAATAGTATCTTTGATCTCCTTATGTATTCAATCTGCGGCAGAATATTTCATATGAAATGTTGGAAAGAATGTTGAAAGAAGCTATTGTTATAAAGAAACAGAATGGATTGCCATAGGCAAATGTGTTAGACAAGAGTAACATTCATCTCTCTGGCTGTTTTATTATTACAAGCAGAAGACAGTAATGACTTGAAATGGATCCTGATGAATGTGAAAGGAGAGTGCTAAAGTAGGATTGTAGTTGAACATTACTAAAACAATCCAGTGTTGAGGAGGAAGGAATCTAAATTGCTGATTCCCTCCCCCCCCCATCCTTAATTCTGTTCAAATATATAGCAACCCACAATGTTATGAATGAATATCCTAACTATTTTGTTTACTTCTTCGTAAGCAACCAATCAACAACTCTCTTTCTTTCATGCCACTAGGGGCCTAATGTTTTTCTTGCTGCTTGTCAGTTGAAACTGTTCCTAATGAAGGTGAAAAAAGAAAGTGCTAAAACAGGATTGTAGTTAAACATTACTGAAATAAAGATCACGATGACCATATAGTTTTGTAATTCTGGTGTTGATGAAGAAGAAATTAAAATTGCTGCAGATTTTCTAAACCTTGATTCAATCATCAGTCCAAATGGAGGCTGCAGCAAAGCAATCAGAAGAAGAAAGTGTCAGACAAGGGGGTGTTTTATTCCATATCTCTCATATCATATTGTAACATATCATGTATAAAGCTTGATTCAGCTGAAGGTAAATAGAAAATTTGTGAAAGAAGCATCAGTCATGCAAGACGTTTAAATCACACCCGGTTAGTGGCAGAAAGCAGCAATGACTTCCAATGAAAGTGAAATAAGAACGTGCAAAAAGCAGGGCTGCAGCTGAACATGAAGGAAAACAAAATCATCACTACAGAAGACGTCCTACACAATTTTAATGTTGACAGTGAAGAAATTGACATTGTGAGAGATTTTGTGTAGGTCGTTAAGTCAGAGACTTGGGATGGCAGCCACGGAGGAACTTTTCTCTCGTTATTTTCCCTAGAAGCAGGACTTGCTGCATAATTGTGCAGTAAAAGGTTGCTAACATTACAGTCATGCGTTTCTCCATTCATTGTCTAGCAACGCGAACTGCAACAAAATATCGCCGTCTGTGGGGGATAGTGCTGCTGTCCAGGATTCTGCGCAGACATCACTTCCTGAACGTCACGGACACCCAGAAACATTGTAATCATCCAGTGTGTACAGTCTCCGTTGTTTAGGATCTCTCCCTGCCCGGATTGTTGGAGGAAGAGCCATCGGCATAGATATATTGTAAACATTTATATAAACATTTACAACAATTTGTAACAGCGAACTCGTTCTCTCGCAACCGAGGGAATATACTGTATTTTCAGAACAGCCTTCGACATATATAGTATTTGTAATTTGTCACAGGGAACTCGTTCTCTCGCAACCGAGAGAAAATATAATCTTTCGGTTGCGAGAGAACCAGTTCGCTGTTACAAACTGTTGTAAATGTTTATATAACTGTTTACAATATATATATAACCTATATGACACAACGCTCATTTCCATCGCCGTTAAGGCGTTAAAGTAGACTGAAACAAGAAGCTGACGCGCGCTTGTCACTCTACATTTCTTTCTCCGTGACGGCTTTGACCCTTGCGCATGCTCACTGACTGTTCTTGACGGTTCCCCCCCCCCCCCCCCCCGCTTTTCTCGGGTTGGGAGGAGGGCTGAGTCGAGCCTAGTTGAGCCAGGCTAGCTGTACGTTGCGTTGTCTTTCTGTCCTTTCCTATGAGCGCCTCTGCCTTTTTTATTTTAACGCTCACTCCTGTTTGTCGTGCATGGAGTTTCTTATTGTTCGGCATGCTGGGCTGGGGAAACGGCTAGCAGAGAGATCAGCCCGTTGTGTCACTCTGGTCGAAGCAGCTTCTGCCTAACCCAAACCCCCTACAGCCGGCACATCCCTTACCTTTGTTGCTGTTAATGTGCCATCCAGTCTCATCCGTCAGCCCTGTGAATTTAATCACCCCCAAATAGTCCTATTTTGATTTTTTTAAAAAAAATATATATGAAGATAGTAAGATAGTGATTGCAAAATCAAGACAGATGGTCCCTTAATCATTTGTGTATCATTGTCTTCATTATTAAACTATTTTTAACTTTACACCATAGAAGGTACTTCTCTGATAAAATGGTTCCCCTTGGTCTTTCATTTATTTTGGACTTCTGTTTCCATGCCAGTTTTTGCCAGTTTTTTGCCTCTTAATTTTATTTCCAGGGTCCTTACAAGCATGTTTACATGAAAGTAAGTTCTGATGATGGGATTTACTCCTAAGTAAGTGGGCGTAATTAAACCCTGAAAATTTTGTTATCCTCGGATCACTATTGTTTTAAGGCTTAGGTTTACTTTTCAGTATTTATTTGCTGATAAATTTTATTTGGACTTTAAATTACTGATTGGTCTGTCCTTGGAGCTTAAATATTGAGAAGCCAAATTAAATGTCTATTAGATAAGACGAAATGTGATAAACCAATTTAGTGTTTCAAGTGTACTTTAAGTGTGCTGCATGTATCACATTCATTTTCATTATTGTAAATCAGCTCAAAACACTCATCCATACTATGTGGGGCTGGGATCAAGAGATGCTGGTTTGCCTAAGCCTAGCACATTCCTGTTAAAATATGACACAGAAGGTAAAGATATTTACACTTCACATTCTGTTCTAGATCTATTCTATTCATGATTAAACCCATTATTTAAAATACATTAATGCAACCTTAGATTTGTTCTAAATATAATGAAATTGTACATTAATTTCATTACTGGATGCAATTAATATTCGTACTTGTATTTTGTTCTATATGTGTACTCATGCTTGGCTCAGTGGATTTCTCTGTGGCAAGTTTGTCATAACAACCAGTTCTCAGCCTCCCATTTCTTTGTTGCTGTGCTTTTGAAAATAGAGCAGTGCATAGGACTCCATCTTGTGGTAGTTGATGAAAATACTATAATCTTTTCTTTATACAGTATATTAGTCTTCTTCCTCTGAAATAATTGTAGGGTAGGAAATTATTCTTGTGTTATTTTATTGTTTTGTGTTGTATTGGAAGACGCCTAGAGTGGTCGTATAGACCAGATGGGTTGGATATAAATCAATCAAACAAACAAACAAACAAACAAACAAACAAATAAATAATACTGGTTAAACTCGTGCTAGATATGCCCATAAATGTAACATAAATTATTTAAATTTTGGAGGCCTATATTAAGAAATTATCTGTTGCACATTTGCTTGATACACAATAGATAATGTCTATTTTTGCTTCCAAAATTATGCTTGTGATATGCTAGAATAAAATCCCACTAGGATTTTGTTTGCTCTGAAGACAAACTCACTGTCAGTATATATTTTGTTCTGAATATTTATTTATTTATTTATTTATTTAATTTCTATGCCACCCAATCTACCCAGAGGTCTCTGGGCGGCTCACAACAATTAAAGTTCAATACAATAAAAGATAAAATGATTAAAATACAATTAAAATACAATTAATTAATATGTGTCCTAGTTTCTCCATATATGGAACTGGTCTGTCTGGAGATCTAGTCAATTGTTTGTCTATCAAAGTAACATTTTTAATAAACCATTTTTCCCTGAGACGTCTTTTCAAAACTCGGCAATAATTATTGCTCTTTCTTTCTAAGAAGGCTTCCTCATTTTGCTGTGCTAACTGGACACAAATAATGTGCTTCTCTTGTATCAGTTTGAGCATATGCAATGTTGAGAATATTTCAGATGAGTGCTCTTGTCTGTAGTGAGACAAGAGTGAGAAGTTCGAGGGTTGGAGCATTTACCATTTTTGGTTTGGAAGAAAATCACTAGAAATCAATGGCATTCTGCAATATTTGATTTTATTTTCAAATACAGAGACTGAAAGTTAGTGGAGGTACATCTGAAAAAACAAATAACCATATCCATTGCCCTACATCAGATGTTCAGAGAAACTTCCAATATTTTTTTAAAAAAACACTCATACATATTAATTTACAGAATGCAGCTTTGATCATATCATTCACACTGTAGTTCATAATATATTTTCAAACAGCCACTTAAACTGCAATATGCTTACCTGGTAGGTGGAAACTCTGCTTTTTTGCTTTTCAGAAGACTTAAACACAATTGTATGTACAGTATGTTTACTCAGAAGCAGGTCTCATTGTCTTTAATGGAACATAAGGTAAAGGTTTCCTTTGACATTTTTAGTCAGTCGTGTTCGACTCTAGGGGGTGGTGCTCATCCCCATTTCCAAGCCGTAGAGCCAGCGTTTATCCGAAGACAATTTCCGTTGTCACATGGCCAGCATGGCTGTACACGGAATGCTGTTTACCTTCCCACCAAGATGGTACCTATTTATCTACTCGCATTCGCATGCTTTCGAACTGCTAGGTTGGCGAGGAGCTGGGGCAAAGCGATGGGAGCTCACTCCATCGGGTGGATTCGATCTTATGACTGCTGGTCTTCTGACCCTGCAGCACACAAAGGCTTCTATGGTTTAGCCCACAGCGCCACCACATCCCTTTTAATGGAACATACTACTTTTTAAAGATTGCAGTCTTTTGGGAGATGGTAGGACATTTGGGAGATGGTGTTAGCTGGAAGGACAGATCCTGAAGCTGAGGCTCCAATACTTTGGCCATCTCATGAGAAGAGAAGACTCCCTGGAAAAGCCCCTGATGTTGGGAAAGTGTGAAAGCAAGAGGAGAAGGGGACGACAGAGGACGAGATGGTTGGACAGTGTCATCGAAGCTACCAGAATGAATTTGGCCCAGCTCCGGGAGGCAGTGGAAGATAGGAGGGCCTGGCGTGCTCTGGTCCATGGGGTCACGAAGAGTCGGACATGACTAAACAATGACGACAACTTGACATTTTTTAGACATGACTAAACGACTAAACAATGACAACGACGGGACATTTTTTTAAAAAGAAAGCAAAATTTGCTATGCTGGTCCATGAGAAGAAATGAAATCTGCAGTTGGGCAAAACTTTGTTAGGACTGACCAAAATGTCTTGAAAGGTCTGTTAGTCTGGACATTTAGTGGCATTTTGGCTAATCCTCATAAAACGATTACTCATCTGTAGATTTTTTTTTCCTGCCAGTTCCCATGGGAACATCTCATAGGACTCTCCTCATTCTCAGCACTGTTTCGCCAAGCCAGAAACGTTTGTCAAAGTATTACTTCAAGACCATCTGCATTGTCCTATTCACAGCAATTAAATATTGAAACATTAAAATATACAGTATAATTAAACAAGTGTCAACGCTTGTTTTGTAATCTGAGGGAGAACCATCGTGTAATTCTCCAGTCAGCTACATAGTACTCAAGGACAGTAAAGTTATTTTGACACCTGAGGCAAAAAAAGGGAGGGGGAAAACCTCCCATGAGTGCCTTTTCCCAACAGTAAAAATAATTTTAAAAATGCATAATGGTGAAACCAACCCATTTCAGTCCTTTTTCTATTCTTAGTGAAATCTTTCCTTTAAAGCATGGCAGATGCTTCCTGGAATTCTCTGGTGCTTTTGAATTAATGACTGGAGTGCATTCTTGGTCTGAAAATTAAATAAAAGGGGAAAACAACTTCAGGTTTTTAAAAACTAATTCCATAGGCATGAACGATGACCTATTCAAATAAAAATGAAGTGCTTATGAGCAAAATATGTATTTATGTACAATGTGTCATCTCTGAAACTGTTTTAGCTCCCTGGAAAAAGAGTTGCATTAGGGCTGCCTTAAAATCCTCAGCAGTGTATTATTATTGGAGTGGTTTAATTACATGAGTGAATAACCATGACTAAAACTATCTGAAAATTATGTTATTCAAAACAATAAATGGCAATAGTTTCAAGGAATTCACTATTATCTCATAATCAGTTTGTGAAAGATTAATTGCTTTTAACCCTGAATTTTGATTTTTAACTCAGTGAATTTCAGATAATTGAAGCTCCACACAAATGGTAACAAGCTTTGCTACTCTTTTGCATGTCATCTGCCTTCCTGGTCTGTAATATATATGGCATGATACAGCTATTGACATCATGCTAATATGATTGACAAACCAGGAAGACTTGTTAGGATATAAAGCACAGTTTGGAAAGCGTCTTCGGAGAAGAAATGGAGGATAAGACTGTCACATAGACATCTCACACAGGTATCTCTATACTAGAGTCCATCACATTATTGCAGTCAATAAAGCACACCACATACCCTGATCTAGAACCCTGCATGTGCACTAGTGAAGTGCAGTCATTTATTCATAAACACATTTTTCATTCATAATGAAAGAGCAGTTTTCCATGCCTAAAAAAAGGAAATGCACATGCAGATTTGAAAAACTTAAACACTGAAACAATGGAAAGGAAAACTGTTAAATGGGGAACCACTATATGTGTACTGTACATGAATTCTAGTGCTAAAAATTGATGATTAGGGTGCACAATTTTGAGTAGAATGTATTGATGTGAGTGCAACAATTTTACATGCTGTTTTAGATTTCTATAGCTATATTATGCAAGCAGTCTAAAAGTTGACCCTTATACAGTAAAATATGTAATATCTTTTTTTCTGGTTGCTGTGGGTTTTTCGGGCTCTTTGGCCGTGTTCTGAAGGTTGTTCTTCCTTCAGAATGGCCAGGAAGAACAACCTTCAGAACACGGCCAAAGAGCCCGAAAAACCCACAGCAACCATTAGATCCCAGCCGTGAAAGCCTTTGTGAATACATCTTTTTTTTTCTGCTTCTGAAATTACTTACATTTCCAAAAGATCAAAGATAAGGATAGGCAAATTTGAGATGCCAAAGAAAGCCAGTTATATTGATTGTCTGTCTTTAAATGAAGTATGGATAATGCTAGATGTTACCTTTCAGAACTCTGCTGAAATTGTATTGTGGGTTACAAGGCAGAGCTGAACTGGCTTGAACCATGGCAAGACTTCCCAATGAGGAATTCTTTGCCCCTTCAAGATCCCATGCTCTTAGTGTACTGTGATATAATGGTTGATTTCAAACTGCAGATGTTCATTGCAATAGTCCTTATAGCCATCCAGCCTGGGCAGTCTGCCAGATTGTTGCAGATCAACAATTGAGAAGCCTGTATTTTATAAAGCTAATGGCTCTATATTACCCTTTCAATGCCAAATCACTTTCAAATATTCTTCAGTGCAACAGGAATAATCTTCGGCAATATACTGTTCCTGACAAAAATAATTCCAACTGCAGAGAAGGTTATAGCTAAGCTCAGAAGCCTAAAAGGTGTGTGTGTGTGTGTGTGTGATGTCATAGTCTTTGCCACTCTGAAGATCATAGAACTTTTATCCAGCAAGCATTGGTTCCACTGTACCAGTACTTAATGTAAGAACAACACTTCTAGCTTCTCTGCCTCCTTTATGTTGATATTTTAGACAAACAATTTAAAGATGTCCATTTAAAAGACGCTTGTCTCCAGGAGCAAAATTTACTGAAGCTATAAAGTCAATTTTCTCAGTGCTTCTTATACAGCTTAGTGGGAACCTTAGTAGACAGCACTAGTATTCTAGTACTGGGCCATACTTTACCAAAGTATACCTTCCACATAACTTGGGTATATAGTTCCAAATATGTCATATTAGAGTCTGGAGAAAATATAGAAAAACAGCCATGCCAATTGTTTTTTTGTTTGGTTAAGTGATTAACTGATGAAAAAGGGAGTCAGATTATGGGTTATTCATTGCTTAATGTCTGCTTGTGAATAGTAATAAGAATGAGAGGGGATCTTGTAGATCAGTGGTTCCCAAACTTGGATCCCCTGATGTTCTTGGACTAAAAATCCCTGAAGCCTTCACCACTAGTTGTGCTGGGCAGGACTATTGGAAGTTGTACTCCTGAAACATCTGGGGACACAAGGCTGGGAAACACTGCTGTAAATCATCTTGCTGCTGTACACTGGTATTTTCAACCTTCAGGTTGCCCTTTGCTACATACGGCTTGGCATGTTTTCTTTTGCTGGCAGTGCAGGCATGCTTTTGCAAGGTCATGTCACACTATTTCCTGATCTGTTGAGTTGTGGACACAGAAGCAAAAAAGGAGGCTTTCAGAAGGATTTAGTTAGCTATTTAATGGCCAAAATTCTGTTGCTTAGCATAGTAAATTGCATTAGAGTAAGCATTTTGATTCAGTGGTGATTTGGTGAGTCATCTCCTCCATAATTGATTGAAATGAGCCTACTCGAACTGCAACTTCCTTTGCTAAAGCCAACATAAAGCATTTCTTCTAGACAACAATCTTTTAAAGTCAAGCTAAAATAAAGCAGGTATCGAAGATACTTTAAAATTTACCTTCTTAGCTAATTCCGCAGCCGTTACATTTGGATCATATGGAATAGGTTCTCCAATATATGTACGGAATTTGACTGGAAATCCACCATATGGAGGAAGAAAAGGCAATCGACTCAATTCATAGAACCATCTAGCTAGTGCTGTTTCATTAAAACAGAAAGAAACATGATTAAAACTATAGTGCATTATGATTTTTACAAAAAGGTTCAGTGCACTTTATGATTAAGAAATAAATCAAACTCTGAAGCTAAGATTTTTTTTGGACTGCATATGCTTTGTGATTGCGATGTATAAATCAATGTATTTCATTCACATAGGCTTGGTCATCCCTGCAGTGGTTCTGCAGGAATTTTTCTTTAACCCTACCTGGACATCCCTGATAATTCTGTGGTGCTGTCTTATATTGGTACTAATTTGGGTTAGCTTCCAAAATTTGATGAGATCTGGTTTGTTCATGACTCATATGGTGTTGATTCAAGTTCTAATCATTTTGCTGAGCTTCCTATAAAACCTCTCTCCATGTGAAGTTCTCCTGCAGAAGGTTTGTCATGTCTAATGCCCCATTCTGACCCATGTCAGAAACATTCTTGCTTGCTGCTTTTTTTTTGGAATTCCTACAGAGAGGCTGGTGGGAGAGCAATTCAGATCTATGTTTGCAACTTAGTCCTCAAAAAGAAGCTCTAGTTTCCAAAAGAAGTCAGAAGATGCTTCCTAAGCTTGCACAGAGGCTATTCAGACATTAAACCCCTATAATGAGTCCTTTAAAAAATAGGGGAAAGGAAATCTTAGAGTATGAATTGTTTGATTTACATCTACTTCTGTTGTTACTTGTATTCAAGAGAGGGGAACTTCTTGCTGAGGGGAACAGGAAGACTTGACAGCTTGTTTGCCCTAAGACTAGGGTGCAGTGCCATATTTGTTCCTTGCCATGCTGAACTCCCATATTTCATACAGGTAGCTGTTTTCTGAGAAAAAATTCTCAGAACTACTATCCTCTTTAAAAGTATTTGGCTTTGTCATCACCTAAAGCAGGCAAGTTTTAAAAGAAAACTGAGAAGGCATTTTGCCACCTATAAGACTTTCCCTAGTCTCCTGGCATTTATAGACTTTAGATGCTACTGAGATCAATTTTGTCGCTACTAGTAATATAGAAGCTGGCCAGACATTTACCTTCTTAGTTATTCCTTCCCTGCCTGAGACAAGAGAAAAGAGCTTCCATTGTGCTGTGTTATTCTAAGAGCTGACTTTCCATCAGGGTGGACTGGTGAGGGTAGAGTTTTAACTAGCAATGTTGATACCTAAAGTCAGTGGCAGTGCCTGAGGCATACATTCTTCACAAGAAAAAAGAGGAGGAACATGTGAAAATTATGCTTTTAAAAAAGAAGAAGAAAAGGAGAGGAAGTTTCTGCTTTCAAAAAGCGAAGGAAATGAATAGGGTGGGAAGGTGTTGCTGTTTATTTTCCTAACACTTACTGCCTTACTTCTAGATTTTAGGGTCCTTGCACAAAGCACAGACACACACACCATTCCCTGCTCTAGTTACAGCCCTAAGTAGGGAATAAAATTATAATAACACTTGAATTCTGCCTCAAAAAAGCAACTTGTTCAGCCATGGGGAAAGAAGGAGAAGCAAAAAGTAGTAATTCCATGCATTACAACCTGCTTCCTCTCTTTCTTGTGATTTCTTGTTAAATTCTTCAAAACTCTTTAGAAAAAAAAAATGGAAAGGCCAAGAGGATAAAAATAACCACCCTTATCATAATCTTCCACTGAGCTCAAGGTAATCTATAATCATTTTTCTATGCAAGCACCACAATCTGGGAAGTTCAGTAGCCCTCCTTGGTATCTTAGACGTTTGGTTTTCTTCAGGGCTAGGAGAAGGTCCTATCCGTGATGTGACTACTGCTGTAACCCCTGACATCAGGGATGTGGGATGGTTTTAAACTTTTTAAATTAAAAGTACATTTCTTTATTAGAGAAGAAGGTATTCATATTCATATACAAGTGAGGGTGGACGAGCCCCTGCAGTCGGCCCGTCCACTCACATGTCCACTGGCAGTGGTCTCACTCATCCTTCCGATCATTCCTGGAGCTCCACTCTCTTCCTGCTTGCTTGGCCACTCCAGGCAGTGGGAGGGAGGACTAGTCTCCCTGGAGAGCTGCTGAGTTGCTAGCTGAGCAGGAAGAGAGTGGAGCTCCTGGAGTGACTGGAAGGATGAGCGAGGCTGCCTCTGCCACCAGATACAGGGGCTGGCCCCTCATTAAGTTCAGCTGCGCAGGGATATTTATATTCGTATATGAATATGAATACCCAACCCCGATCTCTATTCCTTATAGCTAGAATGACAAGTGTCTAGATCTAATTTGGAGTCCAGAGCACACAGAGAAACCACCCTTCCCACCTGCTAATATACAAAATCTTTCCCACTTTGTTCAGTGGATAGGACTGCCCTGCATGTGCAGGTAGGAGCTAAAGGAGCCCCAGAGCTGCAGAACGAAGAACACAGTGCATCCCCCCCCCCAAAAAAATCAGTCTATTATTCAGACCAGTGCATAAGAGATATGTCTTACTTGTTTTTCCAAAGACTCTATATCCTTCCCGTACATTTTGTGTATACATTGGAATGATGGGCTAAAGAAAGAGAAAAGAAGTTATAATTTAATACTATGGTTAAACTTCAAAGAATGAATGTTATTTTAACCAACCACTTTTGGTCAGCCATCTTTTTGCTAGAAAAGATCCTTCCAATTTTTCCTGAGGAGACTTGCATAAAATAGATATGTACAATTGCTGGTGCATATAGATAAAGAATTACATTTTGCCACACATCTATGGTGATACTCTTATTAGGTAGCTGTTGGTTTTGACATGAATTTTTATTGATGGTGAAAAAACAAAGTAAAGCAAAACCTATAGATTCATAACAATGCCATAAGAAACCCCCATGAGTGACATTGTCATCTGATTTACAGGAATAAGTGCAGAAGAAAATGAAGGCAAATTGCAGAGATCAGAGAAAAACTAGAAGTGTCATTTCCTTCAGTAGCACAGATACATGTTATGATAACTTGAAAATATCCTAGCTTACTTTATTTGCCATATTTGACTTTGCATGTATACCCATACCTACACCCAAGTACAAAAAAAGGAATTACCACCTTCCCAAACCTTTACCACCATTAGGTGTGTTTTTTAAAAAAATATTATTATTTCATTGATATGGGCCATATTGCAGCAGAGAATAAGCACATCCTGAAATTAAATTAAATGCATATTACACCTCGTAATTGACCAGATAGGTGAGGTATAAATTGAATAAATAAATAAGGAAAGAGAGAGAGAGAGAGAGAGAGAGAGGTGTGTGTGTGTGTTTACTGAGATGTAATATGCATTTCATTTACTTTGGTATTTTATATTCGGGATCGCTATACGGAAACATACCCGATCGTCGCAATGGGGAAAACCCGCATTGCGAAGATCGGGTATTGCGGCGGC